GACCGGGGGTGCGGGGCCCGGGTCGGCGGGGGTCCGGGGCCGGGGCCGGGGTGCCGGGTGCCGGGGCCGGGGTCCCGCGGGGGTGCCGGGGGTCGGGCGGGCGCGGGGGTTGATTGCAGGGTCCGGGGGTCGGCGCCCCCGCGGGAGGGGGTCCGGGGGTGAAATCCCGGCCCCGGCTTTGCCCCCGGGGGTCCCGGGGTGACAACCCTGGTCTTTACTCTTGGCTAAGACGTTGCCAAATTGGACAGTATGTTGCCATTCCGTTGTTTTGTTGTGAGGGTACGGATGTTCTGAGTTTGGAAAGGTATGTGATTGGTTTGCTTGTCCCTCATCTGAATTGTCGAGATCGTGGGATTAAAAGCAAACGGAGGAGACCAGGGAAAAAGGAAAGGTTGAGGGCCAAAAAAAAGCATGGGGCCGAATCTGTTGTGTGCATTCCTCACACTCATCTAATCTTTCATTCGATTGTCGGTATCACTTCAGCCCGACTTTCTTGTATCCTATACTATTGTGTTAGGGAGAAGATCTTGGGGGTTGGTATCGTGTGCTCGGGACGTGAGGTCATTGTTGAGAATTGAAAACTGATTAAGAGGAAATATGGGTCCTCGTTGATCCATATGTTCGACATGTTTTAGCTGCTCATGAAAGGTAAGGGCATGTTTCGCCTTGGTAAGTTTTTGATGATCGTCTCTATAGTCCCGTTTCTCGCTGCCTGCTTGTCTAATCCTGTTTTTTGGAAAGACCTGATGACTTGGGATTTCGCTATTCTGGTGTAGGCTTACTCGGCTATTTGTAGTTTTTCGGAAAAAAGGTCCCGATATCAATTGTGAGTTATTGTGTCCAGTGTTATCAAACGTAAATTTGGTGTCAACGTCAGACGTCGATTGACTGTAAAAGTCATGTATGATAATGGGTTAAGTAAGCCCTGTGTTCAATCGGCGTGTTCTAAGCTGATAATGAGCGTTGAAGTGGATGAGGGGTGGAATTTAATGGTGGTTCGTTGAATGCGGGTAGTTTGGTTGCGTAATAAGAGTGTGGGTGACTTGCTGTTCAACTTTAGAACGACTGCCAGACGCAGGGCTGATAGGTGCGATTGTGCATCTATTTCTTAATTACTTCCGCGAATGGACGAACATGTTTGTTTTCGAATGAACAAATAGGGGGATGCACCTGGATGGCTGAGGAATAACAGGAATATTGTTCGACCGACTAGGTACGATGTTGTTGGGAGATTGAGGAAGCAGATTTCTGCTTCTATGCGTAGCTTGGACTTTGACATTCCAATGATCTGTAGGGGAGACCTGAATCGGTGTGTGGCTACATCGGGTGTTTGCCAATCAGATTGTACCGAGGAGAATGTTGAGCTCTGGTTGAAGAAGTTTGAGGGTTTGGTGCGGGTACCTATTGACCATAAACCGGGTGACACTCTCGTTTGCTGCCCTTTGCTTTATGAAAATGGTATGGATAAACTCTTTTGTTGTAATGCGGGCCTCGGTAGAGTGGAGGTTGACGAAGCTCCATTGCTTTGCAAAGCTAAGGATGCGTATGTGCAGCATGGTCTGTAGAAGCTGGCTAGATGGGATGTTAAGGGAGGGATCGGTAATGCGTACGTCATCCCTAAGCATAAAGATGTCCAAAAATGGCGACCGATATGCCCTTCCTTTCCTGAATGCAGTGTTTGCGGTTGCCGGAAGATTTCTCGTGCCGTGAACATTATGGTCTGGGATTTGCCGAAAGGATCACATTTCAACCTGAAATCCACTGACCGTTTGGTGGATGCCTTCAGTGAAGTCAATAAGGGTGTGAAGAGGGGAGATGCTTTGTTGACTGCGACATTCAACGTAAAGGAGATGTTTAGTAATCTTCCTCATCAGTCCATTTTGGCTGCTCGTGATTGGGTTATTGATTTTTGGAAGGCTAAAGAAGTATAGGGTGTGCTTCTTAAGAATCGTAGCAGGGAGGCGAGGCTCCTAAGAGGTAAGAAGCAAGAGGGTTGGGAGTTGTGTCACTTTGACACTATTAGAAACTTCGTCCTTTTTTATTTGTGGCATACGTTCACTCGGGCATGTGGCATGATTTTCCAACAAAACATGGGTATCCTGATGGGGAAGCCTTCTAGCCCAGCCATTGCCTGTCTTTTATGTTCGTACTCTGAGTTTTCTTTTTTGTCATCCTTAGGCATGGATCGCTCATTAATCCATGGCATCCGCCTTATCGATGATGTGTCCATCTGTATTAAGTACTACGTCAATTGCGATGCTTCGTTCAGGAGGCGGAGAAGATTCTGGTTGCTTTTGCGAAATGTTACGATTCGAACCTGGTACTTGAATGTACTAATCGGTCTAAGTCATGAGACTTCTTGGGCTGCGTCATTCGAGACTTTGGTTGGCCGATGAGGGTTCGGTGTGCGGCAGCATACAAAAATCAAAGGCTGGTTTTGGCTCAGGGGTTGTGTTTTTTGAGTGTGCAGGACAATTGCTCTTATGTTAGTAAGAGGCAAAAAATGGCAGTGGTCGACTCTTTTATGCACCGAGCATAAAGATTCACTAGTATGTCGGCGGTCGAGGTTGCTTTTCTTTTTACCTTGAAAGTCGAATTGAGGATTTGAGGATTTCCTGACGAAATTTTTGATAAGTCCCTATGAGGTTTTTCTTTGAAATTTGGTGGGTTGTGGGGTGATTGGATGGATTGTCTGACTGGGTGGGATAATTAGTTCCAAGCGCAATTTGTTGCAAGCCGACCTTTGTCATGTCGGCCTTTTAAGCAGGGGGCATTTTTGTCACGCTGAACTGGTCCATGTCAAGAGGCATTTTTGTCACGCTGAACTGATCCTTGGCAGGGGGCACTCTCATCACGCTTGACTGGCCTCTGTATTCTTTGGGCTGGCAGGGGATGGAGTTTGAGCCAGTTACCACTAACTCTGGGTCGTTTCGACAGGAGGTGTCTGTCGGTTAAATTTTTTTCGTGCTGGCGCGGAGCCAAGATTTATAGGTCGGTCTATCTCTCTACTAGGTCTCTTTCGTCTCTGTGGTCTTTAGTGGGATTCAAATTTGGAACCTTTTTGCTCTTTACTTCTTAGCTCTAGCTTTAGTATCTGTTTCGAGTCCTGATTCTTGATCTCGTCTATGCTTCTAGACTTTTCTCCTTTCGGCTTCGGCACATTCATGGGTTTTGTGTGTCTTGAGTGTCTGCTTTAAATTGAGGAATTGTTACATCAACAGGCACTCGATTGCGTGACCAAGACCCCTGACGATTCCGGAACCGGCTCCGGATGAAACATGTAGGGTCACTACCGGATGACTTAACCATGCATTATCGACACGGGCACGACGCCTACTTTCGGGTTGAGTTCGATAGGATGTACTTTATTGTTGTTCATTCAAGCCTATTATGTCGCTTTCGGGAGACTTTGTTGTGTACGACTCCTCTTCTTCTTTTCTTTCTTTCTTTTTCCTTCTACCTTTTCTCCCTCGATTCTTCTGTTTTACTTTTGGTCTCTCGGTCGTTGAGTCGGTATCTGGTCGTCCTATGTGACTTTGGTTCCTCATGTGCTGAGGCCCTTCGACCGACTATGAATATGCTTCATCTGTCCTGTGACAATTATGACACTGTGCGAGTTTTAACTCACCGAATGTTGGTGCGTGCATATGATCGAGCTTATCGTGCCGAGAGACCTGCTCCTACTCAGTTGACTGACCCTCTTCCTCCTTCTCCGGATGAGGAGATGCTGAGGACGAACCCGCTCCCTTTGAGGTCGTTCTTCAACAACAGATGGATGCCTCCCCCCGTCCATAAGTACGTCGACGCCCTCGACGTCTCGACAACTGACAATCTCATCACTTATCTATCTCCTACCACTGACTCACATTAATCGACTTCAGCCACCTTTTCGACTTCAGCTACTTTAGACGTGATTACTTCATGCCACCACCCTACCCGATACATTCCTTTGTATGTGTCGCATTATGGTTCTCACTTCGCTTATTCTCCCTGAGTTGGGCTCTCCCTTGGTATCGCATACGCACTGGGACCATTGCGTTATCTTGGCTTCCTTGCTCCCAGATCTGGATTCCTCCCTAGTCTATGAGTTGTGTGCATGTTTCCCTCACCCACTACTCTCATCACCCTAGTGTCGGTCATTGCATGCCTTCAGTTAGGTATATTTCTACGGTATCCCAGACTTGAGCATTACCCCCCTTGATGGTGTATATGTTAGGGTCATTGGTTTTGTTTCACTACCTCTCCCTCGCCCTGAGCCTGATGACCTACCTCATCTTCGTGTGTGACTGCTCTTAGGAGTCATATTCTTAGGTTGCATTCACCACCTCTG